AAAAAAAAAAAAAAAAAAAAAAAGAAAAACAACTGAAAAAACGACATGTTATGAAGAAAAATAAATTAAACAAGACGTGCCTAAGCATTACATCCAAATTCCTTACCAAATTTGAAATAGAAATAAGATACGAAACAAAATACTAATAATAAAAAAATATATAATAAAAAAAAAAGAATTAAATTTAGTGAGTGCGTGAGCACATTTTCGACACCGCCATCTTTGGCGATTTTTCTTTTTTTTTTGGCATAGCTAAATGCCCTGAAAATGTACAGATGTGTACTTCACATAATGCAAAACCCACTAAAAAAGTTTTAAAAAATAATAAAATTGTTTAGACCCCGAACAAAAGCGAAAACAAAAAGTAAAATGTGAAAAAAAACATGGGCGAGCACGTTTTGACACCGCCATTGGGGATTTTTAATTCTTATTAAGCTGAGCCAAATGACTTGAAAATTTATAGGCATGTACCTCGCGTCATGGAGAAGTCACAAAAAACAATTCAGAAAAAAACAATTATTTTTACGACCCGAAATATTTTTTGGCGGGGGCCGAACGCCCGTACGTACGGAGGTCTGCCCGGGGACCTCCGTATGTACGGGCTGGTGACCCTGGATGTATAACTAGTTGGTGAAACTCCGACGAAAGATTTGTCGCAGCCTCTCCTTTGTTATCCTCTTCTCCCTCTCTGCCTACTGTTTACCGAGCAGCTCTGTTTGACTATATACAGATATAAACATACAAATTGATATAATATAGATATCTGTGTAGCATCGTGTTCGGGTTCGGTGACCGAACCCGAACATTCGCGACCGAACGCAAACGAGCACTAAAACCCTCCAAACGTGAACATAAAATCAAAAAAAAAAAAGTTCTCAGAAAAATCTGAAAAAAAACATATGTTGTGTAAAATAGTAATACAAACAACTTTTGCCTGGGAGGTATGCTCAAATTGATAACCAAAACAAAAGTTTTTTTTTTTTTAATATGGTCGGCCAAACATGTTTGGGAGGCGTTCAGCCGAACACCCGAAGCTCCGAACATGTTCGGTGTGCTACACAGATAGATACATGATGTATATGCATAGAGAACTGCCCGGTGAACAGTAGGCAGAGAGAGACAAGAGGACAGCAAACGAGGGGCTGTGACAGACGGTTTCGTCAGAGTTTCAGCCACAGGCTCGTTAGGAGGTTGAACCCTAAACCCTTACAGTCTGCAGAGTCCCCTAACCCATGCATTGGGTGATACTGCAAAGTCAGAATCCACCTTAACCCCGGTTTGCTTGCGATTAAGCATCAACCACTGCCCGACAACTGGTACCCTGGAGGTGGGTGGGGACCACCACCGCCCACTGCCCTCAAGGGTACCTATGACAAAATCAAAGCAATCTATCACTCACTCACACCTATGTAACATGCCGTACGTCGTACGGGGCTCTGGTCGTACGGCTGTACGGCCGTATGAACAGTCCCATACAAAGTGACGAATCCCCCCCCCCAAAAAAAACGAAAAAAAAAATATAAAAAAAATGGGGATGTACAGCTTTTCGTGCTCTACACCCCCATATTTTTTATTTTATTTTTTGGTTTTCTTTATATTTAAAAATAATAATACTAATAATCAAAACGGGAGAAAAAAAAACAAAATAAAGAAATAAAAATTGATTGATTGATTGATTGATTGTCAATTGATTGATTGATTGATTGATTGTTGATTGATTGAATGCTTGATTGATTGATTCATTGATCCATTGATTCATTGATTTAAAAAAAAAAAAAAAACTCACACATAGGCACGCAGCTCTAACATAGCTGCGCACTCCCTCTCTCTCTCTGTCTGTCTCTCAGTGCGCGCACGCGCGCGCGCGCGAGAGAGAGAGTGTGTGTGTGTGTGTACATGTGTGTGTGCATGTGTGTGTGGGTGTGTGTGTGTGTGTGTGTGGGTGTGGGTGTGTGTGCGTGTGTATGTGTGTACGTGTGTGTGTAGGCGTGTGTGTGTGTGTGTGTGTGTGGGCGGTTGGTGTGGGGGAAGG